AAAGGATAGATACATTTTTTTAAAGGCTGTTAGAGGGATCTAATATAAATCCTGGTACATTCAGTTTTTTTCTTTCTAGCAGCCATACAGGTGCTGCCCTTTCACCGATATCAGAGCCCATCCATCCTGCCACTGCAACAGAGGATGTGGTATGTTTAAGATATCCTCTTTTCCTTTCCCATTCTTAATTTTTATCTTTAGGCTGTAACAAAAGAAGGATTACTCATTCTGACTGACATGTATACTGAAGCTTTTCTGAGGAGCTTAGACATGACAAGAGAATGGTTAAGGACCCTTGGTAACTGTTGCCATTTTGAGCGCCCTAGCTCCTCAGTCTGCTAAAGCAAATTGCAACTCTAAAGGCAGAAAAAGAAAAATTCCTTACTTCTTCACCAATGCGTCTATGTCCTCCAATATCAAAGGTGTGTCTGATTACCACAATTCATGTGACTTGATCGTATTTAGGTTTTCCATAGTCTTTCCAACTAAGTCTCTCAACTAAGTCAACTCAAACTCTACAGTCCTAATTGGACAACTGCAGCAATTTGTCTGAGTCCTTCACATAAAGGCGTATGCACAGTCCTGACCTACCTCTTCTGGCTTCAGGAAAAGAGTAACACTAATAATTTTCTGCACCAATGCCACACACATGTTTTCTAGGGATTTTCAGTGCAACATCACCTCTATTAAAATAGCCAAGGTGCTTTCAGCCATCATGTACTTTCTGTTGATTTTATCCTTAATCCAGCTTCTATTCTGCTCAGACTCTACCTTGCTGTGCACCAGCCCTACCCTATCCCTCTGACCAACCATTGTCCAGGACCCAGGATTTACTGCTATTCCAGGGCTCTCTCCTTATCTCACCTCTTTCCATAAGACCATACTGATAGCAGATCTGCCGGAGGATTAGAGACCAGTTCCTTCTTGAGGTGTGATTAGCAGAAGCCTCCTAAATGCTCCATTGCACTGCTGGTACTATTGCTGCAGCCATCCTCTCCTAACTACTGTAATTTAGCTGCCATATTCTCTCAGCACATAAGTTTTCCATAGCTGGAAGAAAGATTTCAAGAGCAGATTGTCAGAGGCCTTGATATTTCACAGCACTTGTTGTCAAGATGCTCCTAGAATAATCCCATTTAGCCAAATAAATTCACTTCCAGGTAAGGCTTCGCAGACAAAAGTTTTCTGGTCCCAGGAGTTGAAATGAAAGTCTCTACAGTTTCCTTGTCCCAAACTGAAAGTATGCCAGCCTCCTAATGATCTAGAAATGTTTAATTCCAGTTCAACTCAAAGATTTGCTTGTCATTTAACAAAATGGGATTTTATGATCAAGTTTCATATGAATTATTTTCAGTTTTCATATAAAATGCATGAACTGGAAAGAAATAATAAAATTTATCTTCCAGAAAACAAAGTAAGATGGGATGTTCTGGAAATTTTGTCCCTATAGTTTTTTCAGTCAGGAAATTCATAAAACTGACAATTTTCCAACCGTGTTTCTTTCTGATAAAAAATTGTTTTTCCTGAGGAAAACAAAAACATTTATACTGAAAAACTCCCACTCAGCTCTGCCTTCTATGTAGGTCAATAGTGATTCTGCATAGGACCAGACCCCACCAACACATCTTTTCCCTTTCTCCCATGTTTTGAAATCAGCATTTTTTTTTAACCGAAGATATGTTTTCCAACTTTTCCTGCGACTGCTCATTTCATATGCTGAAGTTGGCATCCTGGATTTGTCACAAATGTTTTCCCATGAAGATGAGGGATGTCTCTGATGTCATCAGAGACCTGTATCACAGGTAGGACAAAACAAATGACAGGAAGCGAGAAAAGTCAGAAACATTGTCATGTAAATATTCTGAAGTAAGGTGATAATTGCTACTGCAAGGGAAGCAAAAATACTTCTAAATTACGTGCCCTCTTCCCAGTTTTCCATGACACATCACTGTAGGCCTTCTAATGACCTGTTAATTTCATGTTTGAGCTCCTAGAAGGTTTGAGCTCCTAGAAGCAAAAGTACCTCTCACAGGCTTTCTTCCCTCTGTGCATCCTGGGTGGAGTAGGGCTGGGCAGAGAGTAACAGCTGGCCCTTCACTGCAGTGCTGCATCACACTGATTTGTGATTTGTGATTTGTTGGTTTTGTTATTATTCCGGTGCACTCAGATGAAACCTTGTCTTTTGTCACAAGTTTCAGTTGATAACTGGAAGCTGTTCAGCCCTTGCAAGCACACGCAGCCTCTGGACACTGACAGCGTAAATCTCTGCCCCTTGGTGAGATCCTTAGTTACTACAATCAGATTCTACATGGTTAAAGCAAAGAGGAGACAAGGAATACAGCAATGGCATATTTGCTGTTGGACAATGAATTACAGAGTCGTCTGGACTGACTTGAAGGAGCCACAGAAGTCTTCCTTCTGCCTTTCAAAAAGAGTGTTAATGCTTTTCAGTCCAGCACCTAGAGGACAGGTAATCTCTCCACAGAAACAAATCTGTGACAGCACACTCTAACAAACACAAAGAAAGTAAGGCTGAGTGTTCAGTCCAGAAAAAAAGACTGAGTACACACTTGGAACAAATTACCCTTTCTTTCCCAAAAGTGATCTTAGTAGGTCAAGGCTGAAATGCATTAGCAATGCAAAAAGGGATTTGGAGGTGAACAGGTGCTGTCATTATCCCCTCCCTCCCCTCTGTTAGGGTGTATAGCAAACGCAGTATCAAGGGTTATCAGTCCACAACCCCTCAGAGTTAAGCCACTTGAAGAATATTCCCACCTATTACTGGTTAAACCTTGATAATTTTGATTCAGCCTCCAGTTTTGTTCATTTTTTTCCCACAAGGGCAACAACAAAAAAAAGGCGGAGTGCGGGGAGGGGGAGACAGATCAAGTGGATCTACAGTCATTACATTGCAAATTAAGTCAGTGGCCAGGGTAGTCCACAAAGAGGGGGAGCAGAAGCACCCTGACTAGGTTTACCAGGGAGCTGTCAGCTCAGGTCCACCTGAGCAGCAGGCAGAACAGAGGCTACAGGGCAAATCTATATGTGCCATTTGCACCTCCCATTGGCAAAAATGATCAGTTGTGGCCCAACTGTAGATTTAAATAAGAAGCACTAATTCTGTGAAGACCAGCATGGGGCAGAGAGGACAGCAGCAAATAGGGACTCTGAGGCTGAGTCACATTTCTAGAGAGAACAAGATAGATACTGCCTCTGATCCAAGAGGTGATACAGATCTTTGCTGGGTTTCATGGGTTAAAATTACTTGGTTCATGATAATTTTGCTTCCTGTCTCATAGCAGTTTGGTTTTTATTGCATCCACTCTCTCACTGAGAATTAGAAGCAGTTTCAGAGAAGGTCTGAAGCTCTTCTTCGTGCTACTGCGATGCAGCAGCTCCTAGGAGAGCACACACAAAAAGCACTCTGTTGTGCTCCAGTGGTGATCTGTGGGCAATGCAAACTCACTATGGACACAGGGCAAGCTGTAAACAAGAAAACTGTAACCAACCTGAAACATGGCAAGAGTAAAAGAAAGTATCTATTTCCCTTCCTTCTCACCACAAGCCCAAATTTGCCTTAGTACAACCTCTGTACACACCAAGGTCCAATAGGAAATTGATCCCCTGCATGATAATGTTTCCTTTTTCTATAGGAACAGAAAATCCCTGTAACTATTGTGTAGCATCTGCTGGACTTATTCATGGTGAACATTGTATAATAAAGTTAAGAGGTGTCAATTTATTTAACTGTGACTTTATAGACTGAAGTGATGCTTGCTGTTTGGCTGCCTCTTCTCATCAAAAGAGTTTTTCTATCATATTAATCCCAAAGATGGAGCAGATAAATAAAACCTACTCATCTAAGTATCTCCACGACATTGTCCCAAAAAGACTAGTCTAAAAAAAGCTAGTCTAAAAAAAATTAAAAATATTCTTGCTTTAAATCAATGCTCTTTGTCTCTTTTAGATAGGCAGGAGTTACCCAGTTTAAGAAGCCTTCCTTACATACATTACCACAACCATTTCCAGTTACTAATCTATCATACAGGGACTTGTTGACTGCACTGACAATTTCTTTTACTTCATTAGTTTCTTTATTGTTTTATTCAGTCATGCACTTGCTTTGTGTCCCAAAAGTATGCATATGTCCCTGCAACTCAGGAAGAGACTCAGTTTCCATTTTGCTGTTTCTTGTCCTGTGCTGCCACTTAGATGCTTCCCCCACCTCAATTCTCATTACACTTAATCTTGCAGAAAGCATACATGTCTGACGTCAGACAGTCATGACATAGCATATACCTGTTTGTGTACCCCAACCCCCACATGCCCACTTTGCCAATTCTGGATGTCCATCACCAGAGGCATCACTTTACCAAGAACACCAGCCTCTGTGATAGCAGACACTGAAGTGGGTGCCAACTGCCCCTCCACATCTCTCACTCTCTTCCCATCTCTAGCTGTTCCTATGCCTTCTGTTTCTTTATATGACATTTTCCAAGGTCCCCACTCATTATTGTGTGGTTTCATAAGGAGCAGAGTTGATCTGTTCAGAAAAGTTCTTCCTTAGCTTTGCAGGATTTACAAATTCCTCCAGAAAGCTGAAATCACTTTCACAGCTTTATTCCTCAGTTCTTCTTGTATTAGAAACCAAATTACTACCCTTTATTTTAAACATCTTTCCATCACTGTTTTAAAACTACCAGGAAAAAAATCCTGTAGACACTTAAAAAAATAAATATTCTTTTTGATGTGCCTTTTCATATGAAGAGAAGCAGAAACCAAAATGAGATCCATTTCTCCACATGAACAATCTTATCTAAGCTAACATGAAAAGGGAGATAAAGTTATATCTTTCTCTGATACTTTAAGATGCATGACTGAGGGGTTTTTTACCATCAGAGGTAACTGACTATAAAATGTTTTGGGTACATATCTATATATGGTTTATATTATAACTATACAGTTTATATATATATATATAAAAAAAACCTCGTACTTACCTTTGAGAAGTAACATTTATCCTAGGTTCAGTAAAATAGTCTCAGACAGGCACTTAGACCTTCTTTCTATGCCATGCATCCTTTTTTCAAAAGAAGATAGAATCAGAAAAAATCCCGGTTGATCTCTAGCAAACCAAAATGCAGACAAGATTGTTTGTCAGATGCAGCCTGATTCAATGAAGTCCGATCGTGTGAATCCCTGAGACTCCTTGTTCAGTAGTATCCAAAGCACAAAAAAGAGAAAGAAAGGAAAAAAAAAAAAAGAAAAAGAAAAAGAAAAAGAAAGAACAAAAAAGTGAATAACTTGTTCTTTTCCTGTCTGGTTTAAAAAACCCAGTCTTGGAGGACTAAGCAGCCTGCAGGCTTTTCGAGCATTCTGATCCTAGTGCATCCCAAGGTAACACATGCATTTTGGTATTGCAAGTCTTCAATTTCATACTAGCAAGCCCAGCTTCTGTGTATGTGTGTGTGTGTTGAGGTGGGGGGCCGAGTTGTACCGTGGGGGGAAGAGAGACTGGGAGACACACACACACACAGTCACGCAGAGATGGAAAAAGGAAAAACAGCAAAGTGAAGTGATCTCACAAAGTGCTCTAGATGGCAGAGCCTGCACAGCTTGTAAGACAAGCAATGTGCACACACCAAAAAAAAAAAAAAAAAAAAAAAAAAAAAAGGGAGGAAAAAAAAAGAGAGAGAGTGAAAAACCCGAGAGAACTAGCAGGCAGCTTCAGGAATTTCTTCTTACCTCTTCTGACGACGCAAGTGCTTTGTGCTGCATAGGAATCCGTGCAGGCACGACTCAGTCAGACCCCTTACTTCTGAAATAAACAAATACGTAGCATAGGAAAGGGGAGAAAACCAGAAACCAGAGGCACAAGGATACAAAAAGAAGCTAAGAGTAAGATTGTCAGAGGGGAGGCTTGAATGGGCGGGAGGCGGATAGTTAGTACAGAAAGAGGCATCCAAACTCCTGGTCCTAATACAGATTGGCTCTGTAATTATGTGACAAAGCACTGCCCTCTAAGCCATTGCGTAATAATAGAAACCTAAGCTGTGTAGACACAGCCTGACATGCTAAATCCGCAGGAGCTACACTCAACATTTGTCAGTAGAAAGCATGTCAGTTCTCTGGGGGCGGAGGAAGCTGAGGAAAAAGGGAAAGGGAGAGAAATTTTACTGCAAAGTGCAAGAGCTGCAACTGCAAAGAGCTCTCAGGTGTGCCGATGCCTGAAATGTTATCGTGGAAGTCATATATTATCTGTATCTATGTAGGGAGAGATAGACAAATACAATATGTGGTGCTCAGGAACGTGGTTTAGTGGTGGATTTGGCAGTGCTAAGTTAACAGTTGGACTTGATGATCTTAAAGGTCTTTTCTGACCTAAACAATTCTCTAATTCTAATAACACTGTCAGCTCCATTCGTGCTATTCAATACTAGAAACAATTTTCCCTTGCTATATTTTAGCAACTTGAATGACAAAAAGAGGAACAGGTTGTCCGTGTAAAATATTATTTCTAGTGCTGGTGGTAAGGAGTAGTTCTTCCTTTGTACTGAACAGCACTGGAATGTCTAAATAAAACTTGAATTGAGATAAAGGAACTCAGGAGGATTGATCAGCTTTTCCCATTTACCGGCAGGTTCCACTCTCCAATCCTCCAGACACAGAGACATACATTTTCTTCTACCTCTTCTGGTTGAAGAGGCTTCTAGACAGAGCCAGGAAAAAGACGAGTGCTGACTAAACAACAGGAGATAAAAACCCAGCTCACCAAAATTTCCACTCACCAGTATCAATTCAACAACAGACAAAATATTTAATAATGCACATGGAAAGAATAAAGAAATCCAACAAAACCCAAGACAGTAGTACAATTTTTCAGTGGAAATTTACCTGGGAACTGTGGCCCTGAGTCGTACCTGTGGTCCATCTAATCCAGTATGCTGCCTCTAGACAGAGATGAGAACTACGCACCTCTGAGGAATTTGAATGAATTTGTGCTGCCAGGGCTAGACAGAGAGGGCTAACCTGTTTGTGGGCAAAGCTTCTCCTTAATCCCTGTTCTTTAAAGATTAGTTAATGCACTGAAGCATGAGCAGTGGAACAGTCTGCTTCTGCACATCCAAATTAAACATGTAAGGTCTGATTCTGAGGTTCTTTGTAGTTAGCATGAAGTACAGCTCTTTTTAGGCACCCTAGAGTTAAAGACTAAAATCTTCTGATGCTTTGTAAACATCCCAGTGTGAAAAAAAGGACAAGAGTTCAGAAAGAGCTATAGTATTTCAGTCTGAAGGGTGAGAAGTATATTTTTGTAGCCTCATCTAGGCTAATTACTCTCCTCATTTACTCCTTACTCTTGGTGGAAATATTAAATATGTTTCGGGAGGCCATCCAGTGAAGGTAGAAGAACCAGGTCACCCAAATATTATGCAGATAACAAATTTGACTCCTAGAAAGTAAAACAAGACTTAATTGAAAACTTTGAAGATACTTTTGAGAATGGCTGCATAGAGCAAGAAATACTTTTTTTTTGAGGGGCAGATTCTGCTGCAAACTTCAGATCCCTTACTGTAACCTGTCTCACTCCTTTGACCTATGCCTGCTGCATTCCCGGTGGCTCTATCTATATATCCCTGAGGTTGAAGACTGCAGATGTCGCACATATGGGAGATAGACTGTGGTTAAACAGAGGAGGAAGTATTGCAGAGAGAGCAGTTGCCCATTTTGCAGCCTTGGCTTTATAAGGAACAGTGCTGAAGGGCTCTTCTTGGAAGGAAGGTTAAGAGTTACCACAGTCAGTAATCTCACTAGGCACTGAAATAAATGGCCTGAACAAAGGTAGATTTGAGAACCTGAAAGCTGACAAACTAGGTATTAAATTTTTAAAACTTACTTTATTTTAGATGACTGAAATGTGAATTTAGGAAGCTAACTTTAAACATAACTCCTGGGAATCCTGGGCCAAGCATGTTGGTAAGAAAATCAAATCAAAGCTCTAATCTTGTCAGTGCCTTACAAAATAAATGTCAGTGCATTGCAGACAGAGAAGACTTCTCTTAATGACATCAGGAATTAATAATAGACTCTGAGACTAGTGTTTCAGAGTTTGATTTGAAAGGAAAATATTGCTTGCAATGATAGAAATCAATGTACTCCACCAGTGCACTCCAAAAATCTTCCAAAAATCTTTCACCAGCTACAGTTTTTACAGTGAAAATTACCAGTGAATAATAAAAGATGATACAATCCTGGGGAAAAAAATCACCCAAAGAAAGGTATACATGAGGCTATGGTGTGGTGGCTCCCCACTGTGCGAGGCCAGTGTGCTTTCTAGCTTTGTGATGCCCTTTGGAATTTAATGAGAGGTCTCTGGCATTTGCCTCTTAGCTTCTCCTCTTCACCAACCATCCCTGACATATATATTCCTTTGCTCCAAAGTAAAGAGCTTTTCAGTGAATCAACCTCTTTCTTACTTGGACCTCCTAGCAGGCTACCACATCCACTCATCTCTTTTGCTCAGGTGTCCCTTCTCTCTAATACTGCTTTAGTTCACAGTCAGCCAACAAGGTTGCTTGAGCTAAATCTGCTCTTATTTCCACCTCCACAGAATTCCCATCACCACCCAAAGAGCCACAGAAGAACTCTCATTCTGCTTAGGTAGTGATCATCTCTCAGGCCCACAACACTCATCCCTTGAAAGGACTGTCGAGGTTCAATTTCCCATTCCTGACTTAGATCTAGAAATTTCATGAGAGATCAGGAATACAGATGACTAACTCTATGCTCTGTGAACCTTGCTGAGAGCTGAAGCTTTCAAGGGATGCAGTTATTCCCATTCCCCAACAGAATGCATAATTTCTATATGAAGACAACTCATAAAGAACTTAAAACCACATTCACACAAGTTCCCTTGTACAGTGGAAACCACCAAAAAGACCTAGCTTGACACAGAAACTACATAATGAGGATGCTCTCCTTTGACATACAGTGCCAGGTACAACACCAAAGCTAAGAAAAGTTTGAACTAGGATAGCAGAGCAAGACAAAAATAAAATTGAGATGTTTTTGTGACTTCTAGGACAACTTTACCTACCACAAACATAATTCTCCTTTCTTAAGCCTAGCAGACAACATATTGAAGTCTTTGGCCATCTGACTGACAATACAATTTAGCATGTACACGTAGACATTGGTAATTCCCATTTCCTGTCCATTCCCTTCCAAACTGAAGCAGTCAGCACTGGTCCACATGACTGTTTAATCAATGGTTGCCAATCAATTACACTGATTGAAAGACAATTAAAAAAACTTTGGCCTGTGGCCCTACTGATGAAAACAGTTACCAGGAGCTGAACCCGTCAGCTTTGAAACATTGGAGATTTGAGGAAAGACTGTATATGTCTTGGGTGCTGTACAGCTCGGCTCTTTACAAATCGTTGAATGTCTGTTTATACATGTATACACTGGTATAAAATCGCCTTCTCACATCCTCCACCCACACATCCCTCTACTTTTAAAAGCAGCTCCAGCCAACAGATAAACTGAATGTACTTTCTTTCAGTTTCTTGCATCTTAGCATGGGAAAAACTTAATCCCAAATTTCCAGACCAGGTGTTGTTTCACAGTGCAGTGGAAGAATAAGGGTTCTTGAGGCTATTCATGAGACAAAGGCATCACAGAAGGTCCCTTTTGCAATACACTGTTATAAAAAGCATAGACCAATATCCCATAGGAAATACAAAGATGAACTTCATTAAAATGCTTCATCAACTCCCTTGTCTGTTTTGCAGATGAATGCAGAAGGGTTTCCAAATACCAGGAAAAAGTTTTTTCGGGTCATAGAATAAATTATACATTCATAATCTACTCCATTCTAAGCATTCATCTCATCTGGGATAACCAGGATACTTAAGTAACCTTAAGAGGATCCACTCTAAGTTTGTAGATGCTCTGAAAGAAGGTCATCATAATATTTTTATCCCAGAGATATTATAGTTTCCAGGTGCTCACTTTACAAGCAGAAAGATCCTTGTACTTCTGTTTTGCATAATCACATGTCCAGCTCAGTGAATGAAATTTAATGCCCTTTGATTGATAGGTTAAGACCAGAAGGGATAACTATGGCCATCTCATTTGACCTTCCACATAACCTCAGTTATAGAAATCCTGTCTGTGGCTTCTGCGTCTATCATCATAGTATTGGGTGATACAAAAAGTATCTTTTATAAGATTATTTTAAAATGATTGATTTAAAAATTTGAAGTGATGGAGCATTCATTCCTCACTCTCTTTATAAATCTATCCAATATTTAATTGCTGCCATTGTCAAAAAATGTCCACACCTCATTTTGTTACTCCGAATATACTCAGGGTATGTTATCAAAACCCTAAAGTGATAATTATTAGCTATAGCTGGGTATCTTCTGATCAGAAAACTTAGAATGAGGAATAGCAGAAATTTCTCCCAGCTAAGTGGATTGATTCCACTGTGGGACAATGACTTCTATTTGAGCCCAGTGCAATCTATTTACTCAGCAAACAA